TACGGGATCCTTTGTCCCATCGAAAGCATCCACCTGCGACATTCTGAATTTATGTAGGAGAGGGAAGTGCAGCACCCCAGCAGTGAATGGGGATTCGATTTGTTGCACCAAGGCATCCATAGTAACTGGGGCCTTGCTCTTCACTGCCTCCTTCATCTGGCTGAGCTCTTGTTGGTTGTCTTTGAAACGTTGCTCCTAGTGATGTTCTCTTCTCTCCTGTTGATAAGGGAAGAAGTCGCTCCTCTCCCTTTCCTTACATTGACTTTGCACTTCCTCGTTGTGACCATTCCTAGAGGGTAGGTGAGGTTCTTGCCCAAGGTCTAGCTATCTCTCTCACCTCATTAACTTCTCTGAGGGGGTCGAGATGCGATTGCTCTCTTAGTGGTGGATTATTCTGGCCTCCTTGGGCCGATTGCGCCTCCTATGGGCGTTGTAGGAGCTTTAAGAGCTATTCGTTCTGTTTTATCAGACGTTCATTGACAAGACGAAGGGCCTCCATCTCATTATTCATGGGAAGGCTCCCCATGGGGGGATCTACTTCTTGCGCATTTTTAGGTTGTCTGCTATTTGCAGCTTCCTGTTGATCTTGCATTCGTAGAGGATTGGTCTAATTTAAGCTCATGTTTCGCGTTAATACCATCAATCACTAAAAAATCAGCTTTATTTGTAACAGAAACAGTCGTTCCCACATACGGCGTCAAACTGATGGTGTAAACCGAATTGTATGAGTAATGAATCGTAACTTTGCTTTGCAGTGTTGTGATAATGAAAGAAATATTTTTCTAGGGGCTGGAAAGATTAACATAGAAAAAGTATAGNCCACATACGGCGTCAAACTGATGGTGTAAACCGAATTGTATGAGTAATGAATCGTAACTTTGCTTTGTAGTGTTGTGATAATGAAAGAAATATTTTTCTAGGGGCTGGAAAGATTAACATAGAAAAAGTATAATGGTTCATCAGCTCAGGAGCTCGGCTAATCCACTCTTTAATGGAGATTTTTGCTCCTTGTCTTTCAATAATGATGATTGCAAGAGTACAATGACTAATTTTTGCCTCTAGGATCCACTTCTCTCCTTGGGGGCGTTACATAGTATTTATAGGGANGGCTAATCCACTCTTTAATGGAGATTTTTGCTCCTTGTCTTTCAATAATGATGATTGCAAGAGTACAATGACTAATTTTTGCCTCTAGGATCCACTTCTCTCCTTGGAAGCGTTACATAGTATTTATAGGGATGTTCCTTATTCAGTGGGATCTTGGCCGAAATTTNTGATGATTGCAAGAGTACAATGACTAATTTTTGCCTCTAGGATCCACTTCTCTCCTTGGGGGCGTTACATAGTATTTATAGGGATGTTCCTTATTCAGTGGGATCTTGGCCGAGATTCTTGCCCTTATTTCGTGGGGTTCTCTTTAATTATAGGAGAAAATCTTGGTTGATTGAGATTAGGTACCTTGATTATAGCTTCCTAATGCTTTAAGAACCTCTCGTGGTTATCCAGCCGTTGTTTTGTCTCAAGAGACATTCAACCCTTGCCTTCTGACCTCAGTTAATATGACTGACCTCCCGTTTTAAGCTGAACTCCTGAGTTAACACTTGGNTCTCAAGAGACATTCAACCCTTGCCTTCTGACCTCAGTTAATATGACTGACCTCCCATTTTAAGCTGAACTCCTGAGCTAACACTTAAGATTAACTTTAGACATCATCAGTGATCTTGCTCTCTACATCAAACTCATTTCCTAATTTATAAGGACTCATACATTACTAAATCAGATGATATCTTGCAACCACGGTTTAAATGGAGAATTTTGGCAATGAATGTTGACAAGCCTCTCATCATGGGATTCTCTTTCGCTACTTGAGGGTGTATAACACAAAAATTATAATTATATAATAAAAGAAAGATGGTGTGTGAAAGCACAAAGGCAAGGGTTGAATGTCACACACCGTTATATTTCACACACNTTATAAGGACTCATACATTACTAAATCAGATGATATCTTGCAACCACGGTTTAAATGGAGAATTTTGGCAATGAATGTTGACAAGCCTCTCATCATGGGATTCTCTTTCGCTATTTGAGGGTGTATAACACAAAAATTATAATTATATAATAAAAGAAAGATGGACGTTTACCTGCACAAACACAAAGTCTTCAACCTTTTTCCAAGAATTTTCTTCTTAAAGAAGGGGGGAAAAATGGTGTGTGAAAGCAACGTTGCAACAAAAAAGCTAACGGAATTTGCTGAGGTGCGGGCGGGTGAGCCCTTTTGAGATCATTGAATTAATTTATTATCACCGAAATGCCCTTCTCATGTATCTAATACTTGACCATATGATAAATGATGTAATAGGGGGAGAATTTAAAATGAATTGGTACCTGAGTGAGTAGTCTTCATCAGTATTCCTAAACTATGTCGACTAGGTATTTACTGCATCATCGGATTCTCTTGTTATCCAACGTTGTTCTTAGACAAAAAAAATGCTTTAGTATAACCTTTATTGATGGGTCTTAGACAAGCCTCTCATCATAGGATTCTCTTGTTATCAAGTTCAAATATTTGATGGGTCTTATAGTCAACTTAAATATCATAGTAAATTATGTCAATAAATTATATTATTAAATTAAATTCCATTAGAATTGCTTGTATGCGAGGGTACTTACGGAAACAAAACAGCCTCACTCACTTGTTTATTTACCCCCCGCGTACAGCCGTGTCTACCACCTCCAACACATCCCAGTTCTCTTTTTCCACGCACCCACCGCCAACCACCTCACCCTTTCCCTCTTTCTCAACCTACCGCGTATCATTTTCCACA